ATTTCTTATATGTTTGCAGTATTCAGTTGATCCGTCTGGGCTTGACTAATCTCAGACTTGCTAATATATCTGCCTTTTGGCTGGACTCAGCCATGTGTCTTTGCATTGGCTCAGCTTTACATGTCTTTTATCCTTCTCCTGGGTCTAACAAGTGAGTGCAAGCATGTGACCCACAGGTTGAGAATCGCAGGCTTAGAACATATTAGCAAGTGAGTGCAACCTGTCGTGACCCACAGGTTGAGAATCACAGGCTTAGAATATATTAGCCAACATCCCATTGGCCAAAGCAAGTCACATGGTTGAGCCCAGCATCAAGGGCTGGGGCATCGGACCATTGCAAGCTAACATGGAAAAGATGTGAAGAATTGGAGCCATTTTTGCAACATACCACAAGCTCTAATCATATCTGGGATGCTGACTACTATTACACACTGAAATTTAAATTCTTCATTCTTGAGATGAAAATGAACAACTTAATAAAGAAGCCCATTCTGAAAGGCAGCCAACAGATTTTAATATTCTGATAAGAGGAAGAAATCATCAAGACTAAATGTTCGATCTGTGCAACTATACAATGACAAGAAATGATACTACATATCCTTAAGTAATATAAAACAAACATATTATATGTAATTATCCATGTTCCTGAATATATTCTGAAATAATTAAACAATTAATGTGATGTTGCTTTGTTTTTCTCATTATTGGCAGTAGAACTTCATTATATTTATTTTAAACCTTAAGATTTTAAGCTCAGCATAAGCATGCACAAACTGGAAAACCTAATGGGGGCATTAGATACTTTTAAAATTCAAAATAGACTTGATTCTTTTTTTTTTTTTTTGAGACAGAGCCTCAAGCTGTCCCCCTGGGTAGAGTGCCGTGGCATTACAGCTCACAGCAACCTCCAACTCCTGGGCTCAAGCGAGTCTCCTACCTCCGCCTCCCAAGTAGCTGGGACCACAGGCGCCCGCCACAATGCCCAGCTATTTTATTTTTTGGTTGCAGCCGTCATTGTTGTTTGGCGGGTCCAGGCTGGGGATTCGAACCCGCCACCTTAGGTGTATGTGGCTGGCACCTTAGCCGGTTGAGCCACAGGCGCCAAGACAATAGACTTGATTCTTGATCAACACGAGGGTTGGGGATGCCAACCTGCATAGTTGAAAATCCAGATGAAACTTCTGATTCCTCTAACTCTGAACTACCAATAGTCTGCTTTTGACCAGAAACCTTACTGATAAGGCAGTCACTTAACATATTTTGTGTATGTATTATATACTGAATCCTTATAATGACGTAAGCTACAGAAAAGAAAATGTTAAGTAAATCATGAGGAAGAGAAAATATATTTACTATTCATTAGGTAGAAGTGGGTCATCATTTAAGTCTTCTTTCTCATTGCCTTTATATTGAGTAGGCTGAGAAGGAAGAAGAGAAGAGGTTAGTCTTCCTGTGGGGGGTGGTGGCAGAGGTAGCAGACTGGGTGAATGAAACGGTATAGGAGGCAGGCACACTTAGTGTAACTTTACAGAAATACATCGTAACTTCTGACTTTTCTTTTCTTTTCCTTTCTTTCTTTTTTTTTTTTTGACAGAGCCTCAAGCTGTCACCCTGGGTAGAGTGCTATGGCATCATAGCTCACAGCAACCTCCAACTCTTGGGCTCAAGTGATTCCCCTGCCTGTGCTTCCCAAGTAGCTGGGGCTATGGGTGCCTGCCACAACACCGGCTATTTTTCGGTCCCAGCCATCCTTTTTTGGTGGGCCCGGGCTGGATTTGAACTCGCCAGCTCAGGTGGATGTGGCTGGTGCCTTAGCCACTTGAGCCACAGGTGTCAAGCCTTTTTTTCTTTTTCATTTCTCTAAAAATGTTTCTATGTGGTACCAATTCTTCTTCGTTGTTTGCTCTGGTTTCAATGCCCATGTCACAGAAGAGTCCAGGTCACAGAAGTCAAAAGCAGTCTTGAATAATCAGAACCCTTTGCCAGATTATCTAACGTCAATTTATTTTCCAGCATTGCTTCTATGTTTTCTTTCTCATTATCTGGCACTGGTTTGGGAGCACTGGTCTGGATCAGATCACTTTGTGTTAACTCCTCTGATGTGGTGTCTATTAGGTCTTGAATTTCTTCAAGATGCATATTTGAAATCATTCACCCTCCCCACCTTTTTTGCCATATCCACATTTTCTTTCATACTTTCCTTGATTGGTTCTGTCATAAGTCCTGTGAAGTCATGTACACCTGGACATAGGATTTTTCCAGGAGGAATTTATTGTTGATGGCTTTTATGGCTTTTTCTATAACAACACAAGCATCTTCAATAGTATAATCCTTCCAGGCTTTCATGATGGTCTCTCTGTGGGGTTCTCTTCTACAGCTCTGACACCCCTTTCCATAAGGTACCATATGTAATAAGCATTAAAGGTCCTTACGACCCCCTGAACTAGAGGCTGAATTAGAAACATTGTGTTTTGGGAGAAGTAGATCACTTCAGTTCCTTTGGTGTTGGGGTTCTGGATGGCTAGGGTCATTGTCTAATCTCACAAAATTTGTGTTTATTTATTTATTTAAGCGGCAGGACAGAGTTTATTGACAGGGAGAAAAATTGATAAGCACGATAAGCAAAAGAGGACAAACTGAAGAGAAGGAATAGACCCTCTAGCAGCTGAAGTGGGGATCCAAGTGGGAAGCCTCCTATCAAAAAAATGTTTAAAGGCAGCCCTTAAGTGGCAAAGTAATTGACTTAAGGGACAAAGCATTGATGGAACTAATTGAGAAAAAAGGGTTCTTGTTTTCCAGGCCTCCTTGTTGTACAAAGAAAAAACTGGAAGGTGGTGTTTATCTTTTCCCTTTAAGGCTTGGGGATTATCAGCTTTATAGATAAAAGCAATCATGATCATAAATTTGGTTGTATTTGCACAAAACAATAGAGTTAGCCTATCCTTTACTGCATTAAATCCTGGTGCTCCCCTCTCTTCCTTACTAATAAAAGTGTCCTTTGTGGCATTTCCCAACCTACCCCTCAAATAGGTTCTTTGATCTGCATTAAATACCTGTTCAGGCAGGTATCCTTTCTCCTTCATGATTTTCTTTCTTTCTTCATTTTTTTGAGACAGAGTCTCACTATGTCTCCCTGGGTAGAGTGCTGTACTGTCCCAGCTCACAGCAACCTCAAACTATTGGGCTTAAGTGATTCTCTTGCCTCAGCCTCCTAAGTAGCTGGGACTACAGGCGCCCACCACAATGCCTGGCTATTTTTGGTTCTAGTTCTTATTGTTTGGCAGGCCCGGGCTGGATTCAAACCCACCAGCTCTGGTGTATGTGGCTGGCACTCTAGCTACAGGCACTGAGCCTCCTTCATGATTTTCTTAATGACATCTGGGAACTTGTGTGCTGCCTCTTGGATGTCAGAAGCTGGTTCTCCTGTTACTTTGACATGTTTAAAACCAGACCTCTTTCTTAAATTATCACACCAAACTTTGCTGGAATTAAATTCTCTGAACTTTGGATCCTTCAACTTTTGCTTTAAGTTGTCATATGACTTTTCTTTTTCTCAAACCACATTAGAGTCTATAGATATGCCTATCTTACTGCAATCCTGCACTAACATAAAAGCTGCATTTTCAATACAAAATAAAAAGGTATTTTGCAAAAAGTACAAGGTTTTTGTGCCTGTTGGTATAGCTGCAGTGACAACTTCACAAATTTCCTTTCCTTTTTTTTTTTTTTTAAATAATGGTCTTTATGTTTGCTGGATTCATTTATGTTGAAATAGTGGACAGACCTCAATCCACAGTATATATCAAGCAATTCAACCTTTTCTTTCTTTCTTTCTTTTTTTTTTCTTGAGACAGAGCCTCAAGCTGTCACCCTGGGTAGAGTGCTTGGCATCATAGCTCACTGCAACCTCCAACTCCTGGGCTCAAGTGAGTCTCCTGCCTCTGCCTCCCAAGTAGCTGGGACTACAGGTGCCCACCACAATGCCCAGCTATTTTTTGGTTGCAGCCATCATTGTTGTTTGTTGGGCCCGGGCTGGATTCGAACCTGCCACCTTAGGTGTATGTGGCTGGCACCTTAGCCACTTGAGCCACAGGTGCCAAGCCCAACTTTTTCTTGTAATGTCATGATTTTTTTCTGCTTCTTGGAAGTACTTCCAATAATATTAGTAACACTTTGTAAGAGTCCCATGGTGTTATTCAAAGTTTAAACCAGGGGTCCTTAAACTTTTTAAACAGGGGGCCAGTTCACTGTCCCCCAGACCGTTGGAGGGCTGGACTGTGGCCCCCGGGATGAGTCGGCTGCTAAGCAAGACAGGCAGTAGCGGCAAAAACACCTAGTGGGCCGGATAAATGTCCTAGGCGGGCTGCATGTGGCCTGCGGGCTGTAGTTTGAGGATACTTGGTTTAAACACTATGCAGTAAACTTGATGAAAAATACATGAGAACCATGAGAGATCATTTTTTACTAGAACATGCAATTTACTGGAGGGATGAACTGTTTTACTTGGAAATGATTAGTGTCACATGGCATTTTAAATAGATGCAACATTTAAGCTTAGGACAATACCAACAGGGCGTACTTTGGAAATTATTATAGTGGTACAGTATGACTATGGTTAATTTTATGCAGTATGATTTAATACTATACCTTTATACCTATTTATATTTATTTTGGCTGCAAATGGTACCATGTATGGTCATTGTAAATGTATAAGTTTTAGTAAATTCTAACTTTGTGTATAAGTAGATTTGTGTATATTTTACAGTAGTAAATGATAAAAGACTCCTACCTATATATATTTTATTCAGTTGTGACATATCCTTTTCTTACTTTTTGATATTTCTAGGCTGCATCATTTGTGAACTTTTTAAAATTGTCAGAAATCTCCAAAACATGTTTTAATTTATTGAAAAAAATCCATGTCTAAGTGGATACATGCAGTTCAAACCCATGTGGTTCAAAGGCGAACTATACTAATAAAGAAGTTTGCAGTCACTCACCTGATGATACAAAACAGATTTACATTAGCATTGTATAAGGAAAAATCAATAAAAATAACTCTTGTCCCTCTTGTGATCCAGCTGTTCAGTCGAAGGTCAATGAACTTGTTTTTGGTTTCAAGTTTTGATTTTGATAAAGTGAAAATATATCCCCCATTTCGGTAAACACCAACAAATCCCCAGTGCCAAGGGGAGTTTGTATTAGAAGTAGAGTATTTCCATCTGTTAGACATAAAAAGAGGAGTGGTGAAATGAGAAAGCTCAACTGAGAAGTATTGTAAGAACTTAAACAAATCTGTGGTTCAAAAGTAGTAGTTTAAAAAAGGTAATAATAAATTCATAAGTATTATAGTAATTTTGGAGCAAGACAATGAGGTAATGATTAAGTTAATGAGATTAAGATTTAATTATTTTTATTTTTTAGTGCTTATTGTGGGCAACACTGTGTTGGGTGCTCTGAGAAAGTTTTTCAAAAATCCATCTGTTGGAGCCAGGCGTGGTGGCTCATGCCTGTAATCCTAGAATTTGGAAGGATGAGGCAGGTAGATTGCCTGAGTTCACAGGTTTGAGATCAGCCTGAGTCAGAGCAAGACTCTGTCTCTAAAAATAGCCAGGTATTGTAGCAGTGGCTGTAGTCCCAGCTACTTGGGAGGATGAAGCAAGAGAATCACTTAAGCCTAGGAGTTTGAGCTATGACACCACAGCACCCTACTGAGGGTGACTAAGTGAGACTCTGTCTCAGAAAGAAGAAAGAAAAAAATCTATCTGTTGTTTCAGGGACAGTAGAATCTAGAAAATGATGACTGATTTTTTTCCCTTAACATGTCATCTCTCTTGTCACAAGAATATTTACCTCAGTAGGGAAAAAAGATGCTTCATATTCCTGTAAATATTGTATATTATTTATAAATGCCCAAAGAATAAAAACTTTTTGGGTGGCGCTTGTGCTCAGAGGGTAGGGTGCTGGCCCTATATACCAAGGGTGGCGGGTTCAAACCCGGCCCCCGGCCAAACTGCAACAAAAAAATAGCCAGGCATTGTGGCAGGCACCTGTAGTCCCAGCTACTGAGGAGGCTGAGGGAAGAGAATCACCTAAGCCCTCCTAAGTTGGAGGTTGCTATGAGCTGTGATGTGACAGCACTCTATTGAGGGTGATAAAGTGAGACTCTATCTCTACCAAAAAAAAAAAAAAAAAAAGAATAAAAATTTTCTACACTGTCTATATTGTTACATAAAATAAAATATATTTTATTTTAATAAAATTATAAAAATCAAAGTAAGAGGTGTCTGAGTTTTGTTTCCATTCTTTTAACTTAATTATGGGATATCAAAAAAGGAAGAACTTGATTCCTCATCGTAGTCTCCCTATTCCCCTATTCAGTTTTTCATTTTCCCCCCAAATACACAGCACTGCTAAAATATATATATATATATATATATATATATATATATTGGAGGGGACAGGGTCCTGCTCTGTTACCTGGGCAGTGGTGTCATCAGAGCTTACTGCAGCCTCAAACTCCTGTGCTCAAGTGATGCTCCTGCCTCAGCTTCCCAAGTAGCTGGGACTACAGATGTATGCTACCACCCCTGGTTAATATTTCTATTTTTTGTAGAAATGGGGTCTTGCTATGTTTCTCAGGTTGCTCTCGAACTCCTGGCTTCAAGTGATCCTCCTGGCTTAGCCTCCTATGGTGCTAGGATTACTGGTGTGAATCACCAGACTCACTTTATTAAAAAAAAAAAAAAGTTTTCAGTGGAGAATGTATACCACTGTGGGGACGTGATACCACTAGGAAAAAGTACTTATATATTTAATAAAACTTCCATAGTTATATTTTTGAGTGTTTTCTGCATATGCCTATTAAACAAAAACAGAAATATTGTTATATCAATTCTTTCCTAGCTTCTAATTTTTAGATTGTTTTAATTAATGAATCTTACATTTTAGATAGACAGGCACAAACTAATTCTCATTTTGGCTGTTGAGGAATGGCAGATAATAACATAATTCCAATTACGTACAGACTTAGTAAAATAAGCCTAATCTATAGTGTTTAGTATTTAAAGTGTAATTGTCATGAGATTTGGAATATTAGAATACCTAAAAGATTAGTCTGGAGATTCCAATTTAAAATGTGTAATAATTGCTTTATCTTGTAATTTTAGGTTGAAAGGGAGTGAGTAGTACTGTAATATTTAAGAGAATGTGTCATCATACTTATGAATTTATTAGATTTACCAGAATTATACATGCCCTCAGGAACAACCAACTCATACAAAGAAGTAAGTCAACACAATCCATAAAGCAACTGCTAAACTCTAGGGGTAAAAGGGAGGTTTTCAAGAATAGAAATTATAGTTAATATTTATAAACATTGAATGACAATAATTATGACATAACTATATTGAGAGGGCAAGGGGAACTGGAGGAGTATGTGTAGACAGGGCAGTATAAGACAGCTACGTGACAGATGACCTTCCTTGACAAACAACAACTACATCAAACCATGAAATCAAGTAATAGCAATATAAGGATGTTATTTAGAAAAAGGAATTAGATAGCAGAAGAAACAATTAAAAGAGTTAAAAGTATTAGTCTTGGAGAGCTGGACTTATGAGTAGGAAAGAGAAGACCTTTGTAAACATTTGTATCACTTTGATACATATTAAATTACAAGAAGACTTTATTCTCACCACCTATGATTTTCCTATGACTCTAAAAGCACAAACTGAAAATAGCACTGATGCCAGCAGCTTGTGTGTCAAGGAAAGTTGGTACCAGCAGCTTTGGGTTTTCACATTTTTAGTATAAAGTGTAGACTTGAGTCTACACTTAGATCAGCCTCAGCCACTTTTGAACACAGCTGCCTTCGTATCTTTGGCAAGCATCATTAATGCAGTCCCTAGAAAGCCTCACTGCTGCTTGTGGACATTGGCAGCCACAGAAGATATCACTGAGGTAAGCCAGAGTGAGAAAGGAGGAAAGTGGCAGAACACACCTAAGCCACTCCCTAAAGAGTCAAAAAAGTTTGGGGGGTATGTTTAAGGGAGTCTCTGGCCAAAGTCAGAAAACCTAATTAATTAATTATTGTAGAAGAAAAACTGATGCTTTGTCTTGTGTCCAATATAAGTAAGCACTTCATATACCACAATCAGAAATAAGAACAGTTTGCTTCCGGAGGTAAACAAGTAAACAAAAAACAGATGAAAGCTTCTTTTTCTAAACACTGCTGTCTGATTCTTCCTGTGATACTGTTGAAACAGTTTACTTACCTTCCAGCCCCCAGTTTGGGTTATTTGGAAAATACACAATATTTTTACAATTTGTAAAAGATACAATGGTAAATTGCTAGAAAAAGTTCCTGTATTAATTTTATACTACTTACTCAGTATCCTGTGTAAAGGCCAAGTCAGACATGTCCTCATTTGTAGATGAGTATTTGCCATAACATTCATCCATCAAAGACTTAAAGGATGAATAGACCTTGCATGTGTTGTTGCGGACTTTTAGTTGACGAACTCTGGGGACTCCTAGAAGTACGTTCTCATAGTAGATGCGACTGGTATTTTTTAAATTATATAGCTGCTGGTTATTGTACCATGAGTCCCAGTACAGACCTTCCAAAAAGGGTCCTTCCATATACTTCATATAGAATGATAGATGTCATGGGAAAAATATTTTCATGTCAACAGAATCTACATTCATAACATTATATATAAGAGATTTTGAGGATGAAAACTTGTTCATCAAGCCACCATAAATATTAATGGTAATGATAATGTTTTTGTTGGTTAAAACTTATAAGCACTTATGTACTAGGTACTGTTCTAAGTACTTTACAAGCATTTACTCATGTAATCCTATAACCCTTCTTCTCCCTCTTAATTTTTTATTTAAAAAAAAGTTTTGGCTCGGCGCCTATAGCTCAATCGGCTAAGGCGCCAGCCACGTACACCTAAGGTGGCAGGTTCAAATCCCCAGCCCGGACCCGCCAAACAACAATGACGGCTGCAACCAAAAAATAGCCGGGCGTTGTGGCGGGCGCCTGTGGTCCCAGCTACTTGGGAGGCGGAGGCAGGAGACTCGCTTGAGCCCAGGAGTTGGGGGTTGCTGTGAGCTGTAATGCCACGGCACTCTACCCAGGGGGACAGCTTGAGGCTCTGTCTCAAAAAAAAAAAAAAAAAGTTTTTGTAGAGATGAGGTCTTGCTCTATTGCCCAGGTTCTAGGCACAAGCAAACCTCTTGCCTCAGCCTTCCAAAGTGCTGGGATTATAGGTGTGAGCTACCATGCCTGGCCCTCCACTTCTTATATGAGTAGTCCCCGAGTTACAGACATCTAACTTCCATACCACTTGTACTTACCAATGGAGGCTATTTCAGGTAATAGGTAAATGTACCTGTTCCAACTTACATACTAAGTCAACTTAAGAACAAACCTATAGAACATATCTCATTCATAACCTGAGGACTGACTGTATATTGAAAATTGTTCTCCAATACCTGAATATCAGAGCTGGTCATACATAATGATTTCACCCCAAAGTTGTGTGTACTCCTTCTTTTAACCTCCTCCCAAACCCTGGCCAAGGTGACTGCTACTCCTGGCTCTGCCCCCATCTACTCATTCTCAGATTCCCAAGCCCAGGATTCATTTTTTTTTGAGAGTCTCACTATGTCACCCTGGTTAGAGTGCTGTAGTGTTACAGCTCACAGCAACCTCAAACTTTTGGGCTTAAGTGATCCTCTTGCCTCAGCCTCCCAAGTAGCTGCAACTACAGGTGCCCAGCACAATGCCCCACTATTTTTTTGTTGTAGTTGTCATTGTTGTTTGGCAGGCCCGGGGCCAGGTTCAAACCCACCAGCCCTTGTGTATGTGACTGGTGCCCTAGCCACTGAGCTACTGGCACCAAGCTGCAGGGTTCATTTTTTGTTTGTTCCCTTTGTCTTCTTTGCCATTAGCCATGTACATGCCTCAGAAAGCACAATAAAAAAGAGGCAGGATAAGCACTACTTCTATCATTCTTTCATGTTTCACCTGTACTAAACCAATGAGGTATCCCACCCTTGTCTTCTCACTCTCAGCAAATAAATGACTGTCTCCTATCCTTTCCAATTCCTAGCATGGCACTCACAATGCGCCCTCTGTCTAATTCATAATATAGCCTTTTCTACTTTATCTTCCATATGCCACAATGCCATGTAGAATTACTTGCAACAGACATTGTTCCTTCTTCCTAAAATTCTCTTCCCTTATCTATCCTTCAAAACTCAACTGAAGGGCCAGGTGTGATGGCTCACGCCTATAATTCTAGCATTCTGGGAGGTGGATTGCCTGGTTCAGAAGTTGGGAGACCAGTCTGAGCAAGAGTGAGACCTGGTTTCTAAAAATAGCCAGACATTGTGGCGAGCGCCTGTAGTTCCAGCTACTTGGGAAGCTGAGGCAAAAGGATCACATCAGCCTAAGAGTTTGAGGTTGCTGTGAGTTATGACACCATGGCACTCTACCGAGGATGACAAAGTGAGACTCTGTCTCAAAAAACAAAAAAAATCAACTAAATTGTTACCATGTTTGGAAAGCCTTGCCTAATGTCTCATCTTTATATACCCAAATGTTTGTATCCTGGAATATCTGAAACTGTTGTTCCCTTAATTGTCTTTTCTCACAATGTGAACATCTTTCTGTGTTAAATCTAGTGAAACCAACAAATTTATTCCAATGCTAAAGGAATGATTCCCTTATGTAATAAGGGAATAAACACTATAAATTCCATTTTGTATAGGTACTGTTTATTATATACTGTAACACATATATACAGTAGAGGGTTGTATGCCAAAGCCACACATATTACACTTTCTGGGTAATAAATTTTCGGGAGTAATTTTCACTATACATAATTATAGACTGTTTTTAGCTCCTGTCAGCTAAGAAGCAAGTCTCCTATTTTCCAAATGAAATGAGAATGTTAAAAAAAAATCAATTTTTAAAACACAGGTTCAGAATAAACACTTACTTGGTAGATATTCATAGTTTAAAGAAGTGATGTTCATTTTTACTCATTCCTTCAACAATTATTCACTGAGTGTCTACTTTGCCTGCCAAAGGTTTATGGAATACCTAAAGCCACTTCATCCATAGTCACATGTTACCTTACCTTCCAAAAATCAGTTATGCTGCGAATAGACTTAAAGTTGGTTCTTTCTTCACCAGGCACAGAAGTATCCAAAAATAGAGATGACATAACTTTGTTTAAGTAGTACATATGTGGGTTTATCATCCCAAAAGTCACTATGAAGAAGAATTTTTTTAAATTATGCTTAAAAACTTAGTTTATCAATATTAAAAATATTATGATTTATTCCTAATTTCTTTGAAAAGTCAACTTTGTTATTTTGTCTAACTATAAAAGTAATAATTAAAAATCTAAAGTAGACATATACAAAGCAGAAAAGTTTCCTGTAATCCTACCACTAGAGCAGTGGTTCTCAACCTTCCTAATGCCGCGATGTATTTTCATTGTTACCAAGGGGTCGCGACCCACAAGTTGAGAACTGCTGCACTAGAGTTTGATATATTCTTCAGATTTTTCTATATGCATACACATTAATAAATAAAGTAATTTTTTCTTTATGAAGATGAGATCACAATGTACATATTAGCCTGCAAGTTGGCTTTTTCTCGACATTCAGAGTAGGCAGTATAGGATGGTGAGTGGTTAAGGTTATATCTTTGAATTTAGAAAGATAATGGTTTGAGTCCCATCAGAGGGTAGTATTTCCTATCTCCTTTTGTCATCAGTAAGATAATGCATGTAAAACATTTAAAACTATGCTTTGGAACATAATAAGTCTTTTTTTCTTGAGACAGAGTCTCACTCTGGTGTCTAGGCTAGAGTGCTGTGACATCATAGTTCACAGCAACCTTAACTCTCCTGGATTCAAGTGATTCTTCTGCCTTAGCCTCCTAAGTAGCTGGGATGACAGGTGCCCACCATAATGTCCAGCTATTTTTTTCTTTTTTTTTTTTTTTTTGAGACAGAGCCTCAAGCTGTCCCCCTGGGTAGAGTGCCGTGGCATTACAGCTCACAGCAACCTCCAACTCCTGGGCTCTAGTGAGTCTCCTGCCTCTGCCTCCCAAGCAGCTGGGACCACAGGCGCCCGCCACAATGCCCGGCTATTTTTTGGTTGCAGCCGTCATTGTTGTTTGGCGGGCCTGGGCTGGGGATTCAAACCTGCCACCTTAGGTGTACGTGGCTGGCGCCTTAGCCGGTTGAGCTATAGGCGCCGAGCCTATTTTTTTCTATTTTTAGTAGCATTGGGGTATTCTTGCTCAGGCTGGTCTTGAACTCCTGAGCTCAAGCACTTCCACCCACTTCAGCCTCCCAGAGTGCTAGGATTACAGGTGTGAGCCTCCATGCTGGGCCTGTACATGACAAGTCTTTACAAATATTAACTAGTATTCTTCCTTATTCTCTTTCTTTAAAGGGAGTGGGTTTTAAAGAGGAGTACAGACTAATTTTTTTTTCTAGAAGCCCTTTAATTTTTAAAAAACATTTTTTTTTTTTAGAGACAGAGTCTCACTTTGTTGCCCTCGGTAGAGTGCCTTGGGGTTACAACTCTAGCTCCTGGGCTTAGGCGATTCTCTTGCCTCAGTGTCCTGACCACAGGCACTCACCACAACGCCTGCTATTTTTTTGTTGCGGTTTGGTCGGGCTGGGTTTGGACCTGCCACCCTCGGCATATGGGGCCGGTGCCCTACTCACTGAGCCACAGGTGCTGCCCTTTAGACAGAGTCTCAGGCTGTTGCCCTGGGTAGAGTATTGTGGTATCATAGCTCACAACAACTTCCAACTCTTGGCTCAAGCAATCCCCTTGCCTCAGTTTTTCTACTTTTAGTAGACATGAGGTCTCACTTTTGCTCAGGCTGGTCTTGAACTTGTGAGCTCAGGTAATCCACCTGCCTCTGCCTCCCAGAGTGCTAGGATTATAAATATGAGCCACTGCACCCAGCCAAAAACCATGTATTTTCAATACCATTCCATGGCACAGATGAAGCTATTTCATTAACAGTTGCATGTTATACCACAAAGTTAAAAAATCCCCTTGCTGATGTTAAAGAAATCAGGTTGTTTTTAATTCTTCCTTATAAGAAAAATGTTTCTTTTAAAAAATATCTCTGAACAATAGGATTATGAATGATCTTTTCACTTTCCATTTTCCAAATGTTCTATAATGAACATGTTTAGTATTTTTTTCTTTCTTTCTTTTTTTTTTTTTTTTTGCAGTTTTTGGCCGGGGCTGGGTTTGAACCCATCACCTATGGCATATGGGGCCAGTGCCCTACTCCTTTGAGCCACAGGTGCTGCCCTAGTATTTTTATAACTAAACTATTGTAGACCCTTCTAAGATACAATATATAAAATTGGCTATGTTTTTTTTTTTTTTTTTTTGAGACAGAGTCGCACTCAGTCAACCTGGAGTTGAGTGCCCTGGCTTCTAAGCTCACAGCAACCTCAAACTCTACGGCTCAAGAGATTCTCTTGCTTCAGCATCCCAAGTAACTGGGACTACAGGTGCTTACCACATTGCATGGCTATTTTTAGAGATCAGGTCTTGCTCTTGCTCAGTCTGGTCTCCAACTCTTGAGCTCAGGCAATCCACCCACCTTGGCCTCCTAGAGTGCTAGGATTACAGGCATAAGCCACCTCGCCCAGTCCTATAGTTGCCTTTTTAATCAAGATTTGGCTCAAACTCACCCCTATACCAATTAATTAGTTAATTAGTATACAATTGCCAGTGTGTAGCACATGTCATCATGAGATAAATCCTGCCAGTGACTTTACACTTACTATATGTTGGGCACTCTGAAGACAAAAATGTTCTTTAATGCTGTCCTTCACATATTAAGTTAGTGTATTGACCTACAAATAGGGTGTTGAGATGTTTTCCCAGTCTTCCTTAAAGATTTGTATTGCCTCAGCACAAACATATTTTACCATTAACTGTACAACAGTTCAGTGAAAAGAAGAAAACTAATGGCCTACAGACTTCTATCTTTGGTCTCATTTATACTTTTATTTACGAAACTGAGTTAATTTATCTATAAAACTCTAAAAGAAATTGAATCGCAGTTACCAACCCAAGGGATTAATTATGTTCCAGACAGAACTGCCAAACAAAAGTAATAATTATATTCAATCAGTGTTGACTATGAAAACTTCTCATTACATCCATGAACTGTACTTTTGTCCCTTAAATATTGGAAATAATGTCAATCTAAATGAACTTAAGATAATTATGTCTAAGCTGTGTCATTACAGTTTTAGTCTTAGTATCTGACAGCCTATGCTTTAAAATCTAAATGTTTTATCATCTCTACAACGTAATTTCTTAGTTCAAGCAATCAGCATCTTTATTTACATTTATGTACTTACATATACATAGGTTTATTAAAAAAATAAAGTAGAGTAATAACTCCTGAAGTGTGGTTCTAATTTCTACTTCCTCTCTGTACTGCAGCTTAGGTTTCGAAGCCCCTGTGAGATATAAGACAAAATTTTTATTTTTTATATAATTTAAAATTTATATAATTAACAACGACAGAAGAACACGGACACATTTAGTTGTTATACTTGGCCAGGGAAAGTGCCAATGGTTCCTAGTTATTTTTTAATTCTCACTTTTATGAGGCAGGGTTAATTACTACATTTCTCCGTCAGGGCAAGTGGGTAGTCATTTTGCAACTATATACTAATAGATTTTATAACATGGATGTTTCCTCACCAGTTCTGTTTTAAAATGAAAAGGCAAAAGACATACAAAACCCTGTCAATTGTCCCTAATCGTTTCATTCTCAAAACTGTTCCCTGGAAAGGATGGGTTCCGCTGGCGGGGAGTGGGTGGGAAGAAGATGACAACTCCCCAGATCAACATAAGACTTTAGAGACCGGCCTAGTGACGGTCACAGAACGGCAGATGACAACGCCCAGGGGAGTCTCGGGAAAGCGGCAAGTGCCATCTCTTACGGATTCAGATTGTCTCCCTCAGTTTCTCAATGGGAGGTTGTCAGGACTAAAAGTGTTGGTCGTATCGTTCACATGAGTGGAGATTTAGGGCTGTAGCGTTCCTCCCAGGGTATCTGAAAATTGCCAAATTGTCCCCGTCCCACCCACTCCTCAGGAGCATCCCTCACCGATTAGCTGCCACCTGGACGCTTCAGCCATGGCGGAGCCAGACCCCTGCGCCGGTTCGTCCGCCTGGGGTCTGCGGCGCTTGCGCGATAGTCTCGCGGCGCGCGGCCGCGTCGGACGCCTGCGCGTGCCCGCCGGCTCCTCTAGAGGGCCCCCTAGCCCGTCAGTCGTGAACGCGCTTGCGCAGCGAGGATCGCTGGCCGCTTTTCGCCCGAGGCGGGTGGCGATTTCCGCGGTCATCTCCTGCAGAGGGCCAGCTTCAGGGACAAAGCCGGCTGTGGGCTTAGAAAATCTTAGTAATTAACTACAACCGGTTTTTCTTTCTTGAATACCATAACATTTATCGCCTTGTTTAGTTTCCACAGCCACCTCCGTGAAAGGTAGGTATTTATGTCCTCATTTTAGGCCCAAAGAAGCCAAGGCACCGCGAGATTAAATAATATACCCCAAATTGGGGCAAAACCTGCCGGATGCCAAAGCCTGAATGCCTAACCAGGGCCCCACATAGCCGCTGCCACTTGCAGATTAACTGAGAGTTGTGGCTAGAAAGTAGCTTCCACTCTCCTTTCCACTTGATGTTAAAATAGATGTTTAAAAAATCTTTTATATTAATAAAGGTAGGCCAAAACAGTAGTCTTTGGGAGCTCAGACCCACATCTAGCTCAGAAGCTTGGTTAAGATGAGAAGGTTTGTAAGCCAGCTATAGAAAAGGCCAAACAAATTTGTAAATTAAGACAGCCAAAAGCCCACCAGGAAGGAAGACAGGAGAGATTCTCATGTAGATAAAAAGGAAAATGGAATGGAATTCAGTCCAAAGGCCCCAGGGCAGCTCACAAAGAGAACCATTAAGCTGTTTTGGAAAAGATAAAGCCATTTTATTGTTCCCTGAAAGAGCTGTAGAGTGATGTTGATAAATGCTGTTTTCTGTGCCGATAAAAAGCAAAACTAGGCTACACAGTATTGAGGGTCAAAAACTACCATTGATAAAAGGAACAGGAGAGGCCTAGTAAAAGGCTGTCAGCCGAGAACTGGAGGCCTGAGGGGAGAAATTGTTTAATGAAAGGATTTAGGTTTTCCTGTACTGAGACTTTAAGATGCTCACAAAATTATGCTTTCAAATGTAACAGGTTATCTGAACTTGTAATTGTTGTAGGAAAAACACTTGAACATAGGTATTCAAATTTATGTCATTATTATTATTTTTAGATATTGAGATCTTAGCATATTACACAGGCTGGCCTCAAACTGTTGGGCTCAAGGGATCCTTCTGCCATGACACTTGTTCTTGAATTTATAAGATTTGAACAGCTGACTTCTAGAAACTATTCTTACTCCTTTGAGCATGTAGTCTCAGAGATTCTGAAAAATTAGACACCTCTTTGGCTAAAATAAAGTCACGAATTCAGGAGAGATTCAGTCATGATTCATGTTACTGTGGTTGCCTTTGAAGTGCACACCATGCAAAGTCTAGCTCAGTTTCAGGAGGAATTGGCTGAACTGTAAGTGAACTTCACACCGTTCTAGACTATAATATTGTTGTCCTGTTAGGTCTTGTTATTCATAGCATTTTTAAAGATTTAATATATAAAAACCAAGAGTTTAATTTTATTTTTTATTTTTTTGAGATAGAGTCTCACTGTGTTGCCCTTGGTAGAGTGCTATGGTGTCACAGCTCACAGCAACCTCAAACTCTTGGGTTTAAGTGATTCTCTTGCCTCAGCCTCTCAAAGAACTGGGACTACAGGTGCCTGCCACAATGTCCCACTATTGTTGTCATCATCGTTGTTATTTAGCAGGCCTGGGCCAGGTTCAAACCCACCAGCCCCGGTGCATGTGGCTGGCGCCCTAACCACTGAACTACAGGCACTAAGCCCCAGAAGTTTTATTTATTTATTTATTTATTTATTTTTTGAGACAGAGCCTCAAGCTGTCGCCCTGGGTAGAGTGCTGTAGCATCACAGCTCACAGCAACCTCCAACTCCTGGGCTCAAGCGAGTCTCCTGCCTCAGCCTCCCAAGTAGCTGGGACCACAGGCACCCGCCACAACGCCCGGCTATTTTTTGGTTGCAGCCATCGTTGTTTGGCAGCTGGACTGGATTCGAACCAGCCACCTTAGGTGTATGTGGCTGACGTCTTAGCCACTTGAGCCACAGGCACTGAGCTCAGAAGTTTTATTTTAAAGCCCTAGACTTTTGTGAAGAGGAGACGGTCTCTTTTAAATATTTGAATTTTATTCTATTTTGATATAAAGCTATGGAACACCACATAATACCATGTTAGGATTCCTACAAGAGAAAACAGGTAAAACATTCAGAAAGCAATACCAGTAAACCTTATTACAAGCATTAGATTTGTTTAAAAAGTTGATATTAATTTATAACCTGTAATTGTTAAATGTGTATGATTTAAATCTTAAAATCCCATGTTTTAAGATAGTGTTCTACAATTACTAATTCATATACCCAGATCTTCCGTAGGCTTCACAAATGGGAGGAGTAGATAGAATCAAAGGGTAAGTAATATTGTAAGTATAGGCGTATTAACTATGTTACCTAATTAAAGCCCTAATCTGTTAATACAGCTATGGATTTATTTCAAAAATATAATCAAATATATTATTAATAGTGTAGTTGTGCATTTTCCAATGTTGCTAAAGATTAAAGTTCTTCACTTTCATAAAGTCCAGATTGAGCTGCCAGACGCTGAAACTCTCCTTCTGGGTTAAAAGCTTGTTCCACATCCAAACCTTTCCCGTTAAGTGCTAAATATTTGCTGAAGGTTGGTCGAACCCGTAACTGCTTAGGAGCTGGAAGAGTTTGGTTTGGACGGGCTGAAATAGATCAAATAAAAGCTAATTCAGAAAACTTGTTCTAAACAAATTGCTTATACTAGATATTAGGAAAAAACCTCAAAACTATTTATGTATGGAAACATTTTCTCAGATTTTATACTTTACTGGGATTTACATTTCTCATATTGTTAATCCTTTATGACACTTGAGACATACCTGTAACATCTAATCTTGTGTTACATGTGGTCACTCCTGCTTCATTAACTGCAGATACAGTATACCACCCAGCATCTTTCTTGTTTACATCTTTTATCAATAAAGTAACTCTTCCAGTGTTATCATGATATAGGCTGAAAAAAAATTTAAAAACGAAATTACAAGAATTAATTTTTTTTCTTGAGACAGAGTCTGAAGAGTGCTTGGTGTCATAGCTTATAGCAACCTCAAAGTCTTGAGCTCACGTGATCCTCCCACCTCAGGCTCCCAGTAGCTGGGATTACAGGTGTGCACAACTACTCCCAGCTAGTTGTTCTATTTTTAGTGGAGATAGGGTCTTGCTCTTGGTCAGGCTGGTCTTGAACTCCTGAGCTCAAGCAATCTGCCCTACTCGGTCTCCCAGAGTGCACTGTGCCCGTCCAAAAATTAATTTTTCTGTAAAAACTTATTTGAGTGATGTCTCTGACATATAGAGTCAGACTGATAAGAAAAAGAAGCATTTGAAAATTCTGGCTATGTATCTCTTCATTGCCAAATAGCTGTTGGTTTTCTTGAATCAAACGTCCCCCCTTAATTTTATATATGTCATTTATAAGATTAAGCCATCTTAAGCCAAAAAATATGTCATTTATAAGATTTATAAGATTGAGCCATCTTTCTTTATTGTTGATTAAAAGGTAAATCCTAGCTGTCTTTATGCCATAAATTTCTCATTAGTGGAAACTGGCTTAATGAAATTTTGTTATGTCTTTTAAAAATGAGACAAATTCAGATCGTAATTGCATGACATATATGATGTATGTTAACATATAACTGGATTCACCCAGATAAATGATAGTAAGTCTGAAAATACACATCCTACCTTATTCGGTCAGTGTTGAATTGTACCATTTCATTATTTCTTTTCCAGAAAAGCTTTGGTGGAGGTATAGCTGAAATCTGGCATTCTAGTTTCACGGAGTCGCCCTCAAAAACTTTTTTGCTCTGTGGTTTATAGATAAACATCGGTGCTCTTTTATGTTCTTTCGCTATAAAGAAAAAATTTGAAGTATTTGAAATATTATAAAAAAGGTATTAAATCAAACCAAAGAATTATGAAAGCAGTATGTTGGTATTAAAGTGTTGAAAATCAACAACAGAATTGGAAACTTTTAGCAAAATAATATACAATACTATTTTATTATACAAGTCAGAGTTTTATAACTGTAGTATAATGATTCATTGTATTTATAATCATGTTTCATTCAAATAATTTAAGTAATTCTCATGTATCATCTCATAGATGGAGGCACCTTGAGTATCTGGTCATCTTGGGTTCAGCTTTTCTATTGGTTGTATGAATCTTGTCTAATTGAGAACATTTTGTTTAGTTTCTCTAAATTGCAGTTTCATCTACTGCAAAAAAAAAATTCAGGTTGTAGTGATGTGCTTACTATTCAAAATAATTGGGAGGAACAATTGAAGTTTTTACAATTGAAGAGATAATTTGTAAACTTTTAAAGTAATATACAAATATCAGTAATTTTTATGACTTTACTTTTTTTCGAAAGAGGAAATAATCACACAATACTATAACCCTAGCTTTTATGAAATTAGACAGGTGCCAGCCAAGATCTTTTTTAGCTCTAATAATTGTAGTATTTCTGAAGCCGTTGGTATAAATAGGATTTGCCCAACTTTTAACCACTTGAATTTGTGGCTTACTAGTTTTTCCTTAGATTTATGCCCTTCAGTACTGTATCATAGAATAATTTTAAAGGTTTTTTATTGATCTGGGTTGAATACAAATTCAAGAAAATTGTTTATCCTTTAACCTAATTAAGCTTTTATAAAATAACTTGAATTATAGCAAAATATCTCTTACATGATACACCATGGTTTTAACTACACAAATGTGGTATAGGTTGAGTATCCCTTATCCAAAATGCTTCGGGCCAGAAGTGTTTCAGATTTCAAAATTTTTTTTTTTTTTTGTAGAGACAGTCTCACTTTATCGCCCTCAGTAGAGTGCGGTGGCGTCACACTG